ATCGGAACGAAGTTACGGAAAGTTAATTAACAAACGGAGACGTAACAATAATTAACTCTTGGACCAATCAAAAAAGTGTTGTTGAATAGTTTTTTTCTTGAAAAAATCACACAATGCTCCAGTATTCTTAGAAATGTTGTGGCAGGTTAAAAGTAGTTTTATCATAAGTTTTTGTCACATTTTCTAGCTAGAAATTGTATACCATACAAAACATTTCAGAGTATGAGAGTTTCTACTATTTAGTGAAATAACATAGACTGCCTAATAAACAAGAATCCCCCTTTTTTAATCTCAAATTAGATGTATTGTTATTACCTGTAAAGGACAATAGCAATTTTGTATAATTATGTGGAACTTTTTAACTGTATTTATTGCATGATAGTAAAACTATATATATATCTATACTTCTCAAGAAATATTCGAGATATTTGTGTAAAGTAATAAAACCATCTGATATGTGAAGTCAGACAACTCATAATTTTTCCTAAATAATTTTGTGAATTTTAACTATAATTTAAGTGAAAGATTGATTGGTTTTGATTACAAATTGATTTATTTTGACTCTCTAGTGTCAAATATTAGGATTTTGTTGCTATTCAGTGGAATGTTTCAGTCATTACGTTAATCATTTAGTAAAATCATTAGAGTATCATATTAGCTGTATAGAAGTTATTTTATCCACCACCATACCATTCTTTAAAACCAGATAATTGTTTCTGACATTTTGCTGAGACTCGTTACTGTTTATTTCAAAACAGGTCTAAGAATAATGCAAATAACAGCAGTAAAGAATTAATCCAAAGATCCAGACAAAGATTTCTAACTCTGCACTTGTGGAAGATGACATTGAAAATTCTTCTGATTTTTTGACAATACAATAGTCAGGGAAATACTTGCCTTTATTGGTTAATTTCTTGTATAGCTTTGCCACATTATGTTTTTGAGGTAAGAACTATATGATCTCAGAGTGGAAAGTTTTATTTTCTTTGATGTTTCTAAATGTATTAATATTAATTGCTTAATGACACAAATTTAAGTGCATTCAAAGCTGCTGAAATTGTTTAGCTTATCTTCGGAAGTTCAGTTTTCTGCTAAGTCACATGAATTATAAAAATATTTGTCTACAAAATTATTTTCCTTCTGACAGAGATGAAAAATCGGAGGTTAAGAAGACTAATTTTGGACCTGTATTCAGTGTTTATACTATGCTGTATTGATACAGATGTCGTGCACTCAGAAGATCTTTGGAGATCAGAAAAACATTATCACTTTTTACACTATTATTTACATGAATTAATTAATATATGAAAGTGCCTTAGTAACCATAGTAATGCTTTTATTTAAAAAATTCTATAAAATGTTCATTCAGATTGTTTCTAAAAATATTGTTGCGTCATCGAGATCACGTGACTATTCTCACGCCTCTACTTTCTAGAACTATCCTGTACTTTGGCGAATGCTCTAGCATTTACTATATATAGGGTAGTCTGGTATATAAAAGAGGGTGACAACGTGACGGCAAGGATAATGTATGTGTAGGTAATGAGTAATTGAACTGCGGTCAGAGAGAGACGTATTGTTGAAGTTAACGTTCGTTCGTTATAGTGTTTGTTATAGCGCGACTGTTGAAAATAAGTGTATCGTAAAGTTATATTCAGAAAGAATAAACCAGTTTTATTAAGTAAGGACTTGTGTCGCTAAAGTTTCGTCGGAACGAAGTTACGGATAGTTAATTAACAAACGGAGACGTAACAAGTTGGTGTCAGAAGTGGGATAGAAAAAAAATGGAAACGAGAAGCGGCAAATCAAACTACAGCATAGCAGACTTGATAGCTGCAATACAAGAACAGCAAAAGAAACAAGAAGAACGAGAAAAGAAACAAGAAGAACGAGAAGAAAAATTACAACAGTTGTTAGAGGAAAAAGAAAAGAAACAAGAAGAACGAGAAATTAAACAAGTAGAGAGATTACAGCAGTTGTTGGAGGAAAAAGAAAAGAAACAAGAAGAGAGATTACAGCAGTTGTTGGAGGAAAAAAAAAGAAACAAGAAGAGAAGTTACAGCAGTTGTTAGAGGAAAAAGAAAAGAAACAAGAAGAACGAGAAATTAAACAAGAAGAGAGATTACAGCAGTTGTTAGAGGAAAAAGAAAAGAAACAAGAAGAAAGATTACAGCATTGGCAACTGGAACAAGAAAGGAAACAGGAAGAAAGTCAGCAGCAACTACAGAAAAATCTACAACAATGGCAAGAGGTACAAATGGAAAACATTAGTAACTTTAAAAGCGAATTAGATACGTTAAAGGACGATCTATTGTTTTTTACACAAGGAGGATACATTGACCATCGACTTAACCAGTCCCAGACAATGACAAGCCCTATCCAGACCCTGCAGCTAAATCCTAATGCAGACACATTCAGTCCCGTTAGAAGTCAATCCCATGATACTGTAACAGGAGGACATCTCGGAGTTAAGAAAACATTGAGTCACCTACGACACAGATTTTACTGGATAGGTATGGAGACAAGATGTGGAAGAATGGTGCAGAACATGCAGTACACGTTGTGCTAAAAGGGGACCCAAGCATAAGGG